GTTGTAGAAGTTATAAATGTTATTATTTATCTGGTGTTTGCAAGTTTGCATCATATTATGGAATTTGTTGTGTATTATAGGTTATAAAAGTTACTTTTATTTTGCTTCCAATCCTTTTTTTAACCCTATTCCTATGTTCCCGAATGATTTAGTTTCTGAAAAGAAAAAAATGCTAATGAAATCTAAAGAGAATGTTATTCTCGCAGCTGTTTTAAAAATGTAAATTTTGTGCAAAAAGAAATATATAACTTAGAACTGTTAAGTTAATCCTGAAAGTTATGCTACATAACTCAGTTTTCTAAGCTATGCGTGCAGTTCTCAGAAAAAAAATACGAAAGTGAAACTTCCGCCGGTCGTGCGGCTGCGCGCGAAAAGAGAAAAAAAACGTGTGCAACTTCCTCCTGAAATCTAAAAGAGAAACAGAAAGAGAATAGTATACTATCCTAAAATAGTGTCAGGTGGGAATGAATGCTTTCCTATTAAGGCAACTAGCATGGTCGGAGAATTGATCGTTGGGTTCATTTTGAATGAACGTTCACCGTTTAATGGCGTCGCCTGGACGCTCCGTTGGTGGGCTGCGCGACGCCAGACAAGACCCCCTGCCCTCCATTTCTAAATAAAAAAATCCGCTCGTCGTGTATTCGTTCCTATCCGCTCACTTGCTCCTATCCGCTCACCTGCCGCCTCGAGTGCTCGGTCGCTGGCCCAGCCAGGCACGGCGCGCGACCGCCTCTGAAGCTCAGCGCTCGGGCGCCGACCCTGCCAGGCCACTCCGGCGCGCCGTCACCATCATCCCTTGCCGCGCCATGCCCGCCCTCCGCCGCGCTCAGGGTGCGTTGGCCCAGGCCACCGAGCATGTGCTCGCCTAGGTTGCTCGTGCGCCTCGCGCAGGTGCTCACCCAGGACGCCAAGCAGGTCCTCACCTACGGGAGTATCGGTGAGCTCCATGCGCTGCGGCGGCGTCGAGTTTCGTGATTCGTCCAAGCAGCAAGGTGACATTGCGCGCTGAAAAGGCATGTTGCAAGAGTATGTTTCAAGTGTTTCAGATGTTTCATCTGGATGTTGCAAGTGTTTCATATGGATGTTGCAATAGTCGATCGGGATGTTACATATGTTGCAATAGTTGTATACGTATGTTGCAAGTGTCTATTCCTAATGTTTCATCTATTTTTTGTACACATATGTTGCAAGTGTTTCAGACGCATGTCTCAAGTGTTTCATCTGTCTTTTTTGTATGTTGCAAGTGTTGCATCTGGATGTTTCAAAAGTAGATCGGGATGTTGCATATGTTGTAATGGTGTTTTAACTATATGTCACAAATGTTTCATCTGTTTTAGACGCATGTTGCAAAGGTTTCATCTGGATTTTATAAAAGTAGATCTAGTGTTTAAATGTTGTAGTGGGACCCACCTACCACAGCCATCTGCTTGCAGCTGCTGGGCCTGTGTGCATGCGTGTGGGAGCGGAGGGGCGCAACCAGTAGGCGCGGGAAACGAGCGCGGGCGCAGATCGAGGCATGCGAGGGGAAAGGAGCAACGTGGGCCCCCACATGAAGCACATAGGCGTGCGGTCGGGCGCGCGGGCAGGCGCAGCTGGCGCAAGCATCCAGACGCTAGCGTCCGAATCGGACGTCCAGGCGCTAGCACTTCCGTTATAATTAACTAGCAAATATGCTCTTACGTTGCAATTAGATGTATAATTAGTGGTACGTCATTCATGCCAATAGTAATGAGTTACTTATTTTTTATTTAATTGGGCTTCATGACCCAACCTTAAACTAAATAAATTTCAAATACTCGTAATAAATGCTAGTAAATAAAGGATTAATCTGGTATCGGAAACTGATAGGAGATTGACTAAAATAGGCCTTTGTTTAGTTCCTCCCAAACTCTCAACTTTGGCACTATGTAAAAAGAAGATTTCCATCATATCAAACTTGCGGTACATGCATGGAATACTAAAAGTAGATGAAATTAAAAACTAATTGCAAAGTTTGGTTGTACTTTACGAGACGAATATTTTGAGCCTAATTAGTTAACGGTTGGACAATTATTACCAAATACAAACGAAATGCTACAATAGGGAATCTGACACTATGCAAACTTTGCACATCCAAATTCCGGCCAACTAAACGCGCCCTAGATGGCTATTGTGTGACCTATTTTGAGTTTGAAAAAGTGAAAGACAAGTTTCTGCATGTGTATCATGACACTAACAAGCATGAGCGGCTAGACCATATATAACATGAGTGCGGTGTGGCGCCGAGCTGCCGACGAAGGATTTGCAGCTCAAAACTAAAAGCGAGAAAGGTGAAAGAGCGATGATGGATCAAAGGACGGAAAGCGGAAGGAGTGAGAGAAAGCGTTGATAGACCAATGGACGGAAGACAAGAGGAGTGAGACAGACGGACGAGTAAGAGAGGAAAAGATGAAAGAAAGGAATTTTAAGTTAGTTATAGATAAAGATATAGATTGTCAAATAAACATGAACGGATACTTCGTTCGAAGCTATAGGGCCAAGATACTCCGCTTGCAGTGATAGGGTAGCCTTTCTCAAACCCCAGCTATCAAGTAGCATATTGAGGGCCTGTTTGGACGCCCATGAATTGTGCTGAAGTGGTTTGGTATAGAATTTAAATTAAATTTCACATCAAACCACTTCAACGCATATAGATTGAGATGAATATATGCATATCAAACAAGACAGGAGCGGTCACCCTTGTTTTTAAGAAAGGAGTTAAAACTCCCAACACGTTCTCACTTTTTACACAGCTTGTTGGTTACTACGACTCGGCCTTCGTTGATACGTTGTTTCCCAACTTTATTTGTCCAACTAATATGAGTACGTGGCTAATGAGTCTATGACAGTAGAGCATAGAGGTAAAAAAAAAACGTATGCTAAACCACAACTATCATAGAGAACCACAAATACTCACCTAAAACACTAAAAAAAACCATGCTCAACTAAGAGAAAATATAATAAAGGTTTTAAATGAATTTTATATTTGTTGGGGTGGAGAAGAAAGAACGAAGTGAAACCTAAATTTATAGCCATTGATGCACGATCTAAGGAACTTTGTGGGAGAAGAAAATGAACCATATATTAATGATGAAATATGTTATATGTTCTAATACTCAACTATTATATAGGTGGGTTAAGAGATGGCATATGACCCTGCAAGGCACAAGTTTAGGCTGTCGGCATAGAAAATCACAAGAAAGATGAGCTACATTCATACATCATGTATACGTGCGTCAGCAGTGTGTATACTGTTAGTCGCCCTCGTCAGGTTCTAAACAACAAGAGTATCTCCCGACCAGCTAGCTGCTCGATCACTGGCTCTAACCATTGAGCCACATGCCTGAAATTGCAACATCACCAAGGGTCGCCATCGATGACCTGGTACGCCGTACCTTCGAAACTTGAGCTAGTGATGACGTACCTCTGAAGAATCGTGCAGGAAACTTCAAAAAAATATACATATATGAAGTGCACAAGTCATCACTGACTTCAGCAACTGCTTCTCCACTCTTGGTCAAGCTTGGAATCGGATGAGCTCGTGTAGAATTTCATGGTCAGAGCTTATCAACGGCAGGAGCTCATCCATGTGGTTATAAACACCAACATGAGCTCGTTGTAGAAAAAAACACCAACATGAGCTCGTGTAGAATAACATGTCCATGTCAGTTTCAAATGGCTGCTGCCGAACCAAGCTAGGTCCAGCATAGCCTTTTAGCCTGTGAAAGAGAAGGCAATAGATACAAGACAAATACCATGCAACAATTGACTTACGAATTGGGCGCAAAAAGATGAAAAAAAAACACCAACATTAGACTCTGAAACATGTAAATAGTTGGTCAGCCAGATATTATGTGCTGCAGATCACTCTCTCAAATCAAAGCCATGATCGATCTGAGGGAGACAGCAAAAAAAAAGTTGCTGCGGGTAAGTTCCCCAGAATGTCAGACCATTGTCCTATGCACCGGCAGCAGCAAGAAGAATTATTTCCTTTCAAGGAAGGAACAGTGAAAAAGATTGCAAGATACTGTAGCCCTTGTTTAGTTGGGTGAATTTGGATTTTGGGGCTACTGCAGCACGTTCGTTTTTATTTGGCAAATAATGTTCAAATATGGACTAATTATGCTCAAAACGTTCGTTTCACAATTTCCTACCAAACTGTGTAATTAGTTTTTATTTTCGTCTACCTTTAATGCTCCATACATGGGCCGCAAATATTTGATGTGACAGGTACTGTAGCAACTTTTTGGACTTTGGGGTCCAACTAAACAAGGCGTAATAAAGAGGGCAGGGACACCAACAGAGAAAACAAATATTCACTGCAATCAGTGATCCCTGCATCTGTATGAAGAACAATACAAAAGATGATCCCCTTGAGAGATCTTGATGGCTAGGCCGATGGTGGCTGTGAAGTTTGGTGCAGGAATATGATTCCGAACAGCTGCAGATACGCAGATACCAGCTCAATGCTACATGTTAAGAACCTCCACCACTAAGTACAAGACGATGGCACATGCTCCTTGACAACATGGATTCGACAACAGTCCCAATTTAACATGCTTACAGGTAGTACGACAGCTCGAAAGATCAATTAGTATAATCCTCAATACCTCAATATGATTGGTGCATGACGGCTAACAGACCTGCTAAAGTTGCCAGGCTCAATCACAGAAACCAATGGAGAGGAGGAACATTACATCAATGTTTGAGTGGCTGAATTACAACAAAACCATGAGCATTACATCAATGTGCAAGGCTAATGTTTGAGTAGCTGAATCTGCCAGATAATAACTAAAATGCAGAACCACTAACTCATCCATGCGACAACTCAAAACAACAAAATTGCACCTCAACACTCATGATGATGCTCTCATATAGATTTCTACGTTAGCCCTTTTCTTTTCTTAAGGAAGGGTCGTATATGCATGTATGTCTCTGTACATTTATATAGCCAACAGGCAAAGGGGGTTAACAGCTAACAACTATCCGATTTTCTGTTCTGATAAACCTCTTTTCTGCAATCTGATCAGGAAAGTAACCGACCTCACAGCTTGCCGGAGACGGTTAACAGGGAGTCCTTTTAGTGTTGGGTGAGACAGGTCCTTCTTGGGATCCTCGCAGGTTTCTTTGCCACCGGACTCACCTGAGGTAGAACCTTGCTCCTCATCCCCACCAACAATTTCAATTTTCTCCAAGGGTACATCTACAGTGTCAGGGAACTGGCAATAAGCAGAATGAAGTCCGTGGTGAATTTCATCTATTCTTCCTGACCGTTCATCTTCCCTGTCCATGTTGATTAAATCCTACACAATCACATTGCAGCAGTCAACATCAAAAGATAGGAAATCAGTGTCACGAAAACTCTAGTCCTCAATTGTTTTCTATGCTCTAATAAAACCCATGTAGATCTTGACATGACATAATTTAAGGAACTAATATTACCTGTGCTGGAAAAGTCTTGAATAATGGAAGAAGTCGGTTTCTGCAGTACTGGTTAAATAAAAGCGTAAGGATGATAAGAGGTATGGTGAAGCCTGCAGCTACTGGCGATTCTTTAAGTCCAAATACACCAAGGCAGATGATCTGGGTGAGCACAAGAGAGAATATGACTGTGTTGCATGCAATTGGCCAATACAAACCACCTGTGTCGTACCTTGTTCGATACACATTGAGCAACTGAAAAGAACACAACTAGTACATTAGCATGCTACAGATAAATTTGAGGTAAATAAAAAAAAATTCTAGCTTCTCACCTGATTGCGGTAGACAACATAACCAAGGCAAAAGTACACCAGCAGAAAAGGTAAGATCAGAGGAGCCAGCACAGACAATGTGAATCCCAAGAGTCCAAACAACAGAACTTTTGGTACTTCTGTGTGGTAGGGAAACGAGGGAACGAATTCTGTATCTTCTCTCATTCTCAGAACATATTTCCTTATAAAGATCCATATCAAACCAAAGAGCTGCATAACTTCAGATGACAAACTAGCCCATCCTGAGGTCAGGACATAGGTGATGAAGAAGGTCGCCTGGAATAAAATTAGATTTACAGAAAAGCAAACCAAATTAGATGAAAATTAAATACAGAATGAATATAGTATCTTTCCACATGCAACAAATTTTATGTATCTTAATCAAAGTCTTGTTCTTTCTTTGGCATGAACCAAAAAAAAAAGATGTGATTTACCTGTCCAGGTACAGCTTTAGCAAGCTGGACAGGTATGTCCTTTGGGCTTGATAACACGTTCAATTGACTTATGACAGTACCAGATAATACATTAGCAAAGAATATGTTCCAAACTGTGAAGATCAGCACTTTACAGCAAGCACTTCTCTTCCTTTCACTGTGTGATGTAGGACCCTCCAATGTAGAAAATAGCATCATAATTGGAGCAACAGTGTACAGAAGGATTTGCAGTATGACACTGGGAAGGTATCCAGTTACTAGCTGAGTCATGTAGTATTTCCTGCACATACATAACAGTCAATAGGTGCAGTGTGGAGACAGATAAATGAATAGCATCTAGCAACATGAGATAACAGTATATGTCAAACTCTATCAAGATGATTTTGATACTATCATTAGGAGAGCCCAACTGAAATTCCTGTACTTACTTCTTCAATATTCCTCTTAGGAAAGGAAGCCTCTGCTGCAACTGCTCTAGCTGAGATAGCCCTTGTATAAATGTCACCGGTATCAGAAATATGAACATAAAACAAATAGAGCCTAGGAGTGTAGCGATACGGCGAGCCCAAAGCTGCTTATAGGGTAGCCAAAGATTAGACCAATACACGTCTTCTGGTTCTGGAGCTAGATTAGCAACCCACTTCATAGGGTCAGATGTTTGAAGTATTTCTGATGCAACAAGTGCGGCATACCGAGTTTTGAAAAATACAAAAGCAGCTGTGCATTCCTGCATGCGATCCCACATAATAATTACTAATTTATTCCAAATAACTGATATATTAAGCAAAAGAACAAATGCATGCAAGCTTAACCTCATCATCTAAGTCCAAGATGGATTTATTGTCAGCTTTCCCCCTGTTCTGCTCACATTCAGTGTTCAATAACTTGAAAGAATTTGAAGAGGCTCCACACAGACAACAGCGGTAGGTACTTGTTCTGCATCCCTGATCGACTGTTTCATCTGTGAAATGTTTGAACTTCTTATATGCCTTCTTTGCGCCAGTCTGTCAGAGTTAAAGATTAAAGTTACACCAAAAGCATAAATAAAGTGAAATAAAAATACACGCAACTTTCGCCCAAAAAATCAAATTACATAAAGAAAGAGAAACATTGAACTCGAGGAATTGGACATTTCCACGGATTCATGTCAAAAAAACAAAAAGAAATGATTATCCATCTGTGCGAAAATCTAATGAACAGAAGCAGCAGCGTTATAATAGTAAATGCTCGTCACTAGGAAAAGTGAAATGCATTCGAGTGTTAAGTACCATTATCTTCTGAACTTTCCCAACTTTGTAAACTACTTGATGGAAGAGATAACTAGATGAGTGATACTTTGTGAAGAAACCATCAACAACATCACTGCATGATTCTTTATCTGCCTTTGGTATTCCCCGAACAAGAACTGTAAAATGGCTTGGTTTTGGTGTTGCACTTGTAAGATGAAGGAGCCTCAACCTGGCAATGTGCTTGTACTCCTGAATTAGGAAAAAAATGAATCATCAAAAACATTCTGGATACAAGGAGATGTATGTTCCAGCAATTCAAAATGGAAGCGAACTTACAATGTATAGCAGAATGCAAGCTACTCCAGAAATTATGTACAGGGTTACACAATGGACCCAGAGCCTGCAAGGAACCCAGAATACAAAGTGAACATCAAAACATGCACTTTGTTCTATTGTACAATGCTCAATCCTCAAGTTCTAAAGGAGTGAAGAAGCACGTTGAATTACAGTCAAAGGCAAATAACATTTTCAAAATGCCAGCAATTAACGCGGCATATATATAATATACAAAAGCACAACAAGACAACATTTCAGCAATCGATGGCAGCAAAAGATAATAGATTAAAAAAATACGTTGCTTGGCTTACCATCTTGATTTCACTTCTACATTCCCAATTGTAAATATATCTAGTGATTCCGAAGGAATTCGAACATGGTGTATTTCCTGTCCAAAATAATTGAGCGGAAGAATCCCAAAGACACACAAAAGGGCGGCAAGTGTGAAGATGCGCATGCTGTTGAATATGTAAACAAATGTATCAGTCGGCCAATTTTGTTGCTGAGGTTAAACACATGCACTATTATGAAATTTCAGGACAAAATGAAACAAGGAGGAGAAAAGGGAGTAAGTTTTGCACACCGTACCTGAATACTAGAATTCTATTGAAAACAACAGCATCCAACCCAGCAGCAGCCAGGATCTCTTCCTCAGTACACTGCAGGGCTTTGACTATCCATCCAGTGGATGGAACAAATCTCTCCAAGATAAAAGCCCCTCGGAGCCGATCATGCTCCTCAGCGATCCTGCGGCCGAAGTAGACCCTGACATTGGCCGGCTGCTTTCTGAGAACAGAGTAGAGCGACAGGAAGAGGACACATAGGCCAATGTTGATGCCCGCGGAGGTGAGAAGCGCGCTGATCTTCATCTCTGCGTGTCACGCACTGACACAGCCTATGTCATCTGAAACGCGGCATCATCCTCGATAGCCACGGTTCAGTTGCTGCAGGAACAGGTTGGTATTAGCACACCTAGTTTATTTACAAATATCCCGGGGAAACACTTCCAGACATTCGCGCTGCTGTGCTGCTGGCATATCTGGAAGAGACGAAAATTTACGAAACAATACCATCTTCAGGAATGACCGAACTACTCTGCAGGGAGCGCTGACGGCCTGCAAGTCTGAAGCTCACCTATGGAGGGTACGCTTGCTGAAGAAAGACAGAGCAATCGCCGATGTACGGTGTTCTATTTTAGCTAGCGCAACGTAAAAAACATAGCTTGTAAAATGAGACGCTTGTACTTCAAACTTCTGGCTTTCAGAGCCACTATATCTGGGACCAGGTCCTCCCCCCCCCCCCCTTCCTCGATCTTTTATCCAAAAAAAAAGTTTATTTACAAATGGAAAAGGTTGGTATTAGCACACTTAGTTTATTTACAAATATAAAAGGTGGCAGAAGAGCTGCATAGGTCAGTACTAGAATACTGTCAGTGTCAGATAAACCAACGCCTAATACTCATACACACATGGTGTTACTTGGGTAAGATGGACAGGACACATGTTTGATGTTCTGTTGCAACCCAAGCACACCTTAACTGTCTAGCTGCCTGTGTGTTTATATGTTTAGCATCATAGCAAATTGCAGTTGCAGAAATTTGGAAGGACTATACATAGTGGTAACAGGTGGACACTGGACAGTGTAGTTACAGAATTCGGAAGGACTATAAATAGTGGTAACAGGTTACAGGTCAAAGCTAAACTGATCAACCTTTGCAAGGGCGCAACGCTGTTGCACTCCAAACTCTTGGTTGTGTCTTGTGTGGCACCTTGCACCTAATGATTAGTTAGTCCCGTTTAGGCACTACTAGCAGAGAAACAAGGTTGATGCTAACAAACAAATACTCTGCACAACACAAGGGCTGACAATCTCTCTTGTAATCTTGTTGGGGGAAGAAGTTGAGGCGAGTTGGTGGGTGGCGCACCCAAAAATTGAGGACTTCATTTTGTTTTCTATCATGTGGATTGGCAGTGGCATGAAGAGAGGGAGACGTGAAGCCTGAAGAATGGATGAGGGCAGAGCAAGGCCATTACTTTACTCAAGTAGTAGATTCGATTCGGCTGGGATTCCATTGATTGATAGGTGGAACAATATTTGCGTGCGAGCATGAGCAACACTGGGCAACCACGCGACGCAGAATCATTGCTGGCACCAATTTACGCAACATTTTTTTTTGTGGTGTATAAAAACGGGGGGAAACTCGAGTGCCTATTGTGAATGAACGAATAATAAATAAATAGATATATAAAAGAAAAAAATTGGTAAGAAGGGGAAAAAACAGCAATCGGTAGATAGAGCAGAAGAAGGAAGAAGATTGGGGGGAAGCAAAAAAGTTGCGGTCTTGGGCAAGCGGCGAGCGAATGCGCGAAGGGAAGAGGGGGCAGGCAGAAGCGGCATGAATCGAAGGGGAACAAACTAGCGAACTAGTCCAACAGCAGGCAGAATGCTGGGTGGATTCGGCGAGGAGAGAAGCGAATGTCGCGGCGGCCGGAGTAGACTAGTACTAGTATCAGCAGCAGGAAACGAGGAAACGAGGAAGGAAGGAAAAGGCGTCAGTTACCTCGGCGCGGAAGGGCGGGTGGGCGGGCGGGGCGTTGCAGGAACCGGCGCAGCGATTCTTCCTTCCCGGAGAAGCCCTAGTAGAGCAGAGCATTGAGATGAGAGAGCATGATTTGATATATGCTCCAGATTAGAAGAAGAAATAAGAAGAAGAAGAAGAAGAAGAAGAAGAGAGGAAGAATTTGGAGCGGGAAAGGCGGACGGCGGAAGCAGCAGTAGAATAGGCACTGTACCTCGAGGAGAGAAGCGTAGCAGGAGTGCGTGCTGCGGCAATGGCGAGGAGATGGGTGGACGCAGGCACGCAGCGGAGCAGAGTCCCAATCGAAATCGAAAGGTAGGGACGGACGGACGGAGCGGGGGGGCTCCGGGAGGCAGTGGGAACAGGAATCCAGACCAACCTGGAGAACGAACGAGAATCCTCTCTGCTACTGCTTGCCTTGGCCCTTTGGGTTCGGTTCGGTTTGGTGCCAGGCAGAGCCCAGCCCAGCAGGGAAGACGAGACAGCGAGGGGAGTTAATTCTCACTTTGTTTGTTTCGACCCTCCTAATTCTATATTCTGTGCTTTTGTTTCTATTAATGTATGTTCGTTTCATTAAATGAATTAAATTGGGTCTGAATACATGCTAGAGAAAATATTATTCGTAATCAAAAAAATCAGTTTGATGCTGGTGCATTACAACTGATATAGTATATAGCCAAAAAAAAGGGATGAGATTCATTAAATGAATTAAATTGGGTTTGAATACATGCTACTCCATACAGGTAATCAAATCAAAATCAGTTTGATGCTGGTGCTTACGTGATAGCAAGTAATTGATTGACCAGGCTGTTTCTCTTGATAATTGGAGTAAGTAGTCAGTTTGTGTTGAACTTGAACCTGGCCACCTGCTTCTTGGTTTCTCTCCTTCTTATCCTAGGATTACTTGTAAGTACTGCATTTTTAATCAAGAATAAAAAGGAAAGAAAAATTCATCATTAAGTTAAACTATTGAATAGTATTGTCTCGCGATATCAAAATAAGTGTATGTATTTACATTTGAAGGAGTCAATCAGCCTTAATTAATGAAATGTAAAAAAAAGGTACCAATATTCATTATACTAAATAAGCATTAGTATTTTAATTATGCTATACTTTTTACCTAAACCTATTTAGGTAATCCCAATAAAATATTGATACGACATTTTTTATAAATATATGTAAGTTTAAAACTAGTATTGACTACGAGATACAGTATACTATGACACCGAGAAATTAGTAAGCACGGGTGAAAAAAAAACAGTAAGATCTTATTTAGTTCCTCTCTCAAAACTTTACGTCTTATCCCATCGAATGTTTAGACATATATATGGAGTATTAAATATCGACTAAAAATAATTAATTATACAGATTGCAACTACTTTGCAAGACGAATCTTTTAAGCCTAATTAGTCTATGATTTGATAATAAATTGCTACAGTAACACATGTGCTAATGACAAATTAATTAGGTTTAACAAATTCGTCTCGCGGTTTACTAATGAATTCTATAATTTATTTTTTTATTAGTATATAAACAACCCATACAATATCAATATTCTATGTAATATCCGATGAGTACGCTATTTTGCCGGCTGCTGCTGCTGCGCGCTGCTCTGCACAGCACGTGGTGGGCGCGGGTTGGCTTCCCAGGCCCCACACAGAGCGTCCGTGGTCCGGCGCCCTGCCGACACGTAGGTTGGCAACCGTCCAGCGGCTTGCTGCGTCGTGTTGGTCAAGCCAAGCACGAAGAATATGCAGAATGATGACGGCAGCGTGGCACGACGAGGGCCAACCACCTCATCAGCCTATATTAACGGTGTTTGGTTCTTTAGTTATTTTTAAAATTCATGTCACATCAAATATTTAAATACTAATAAAGAGCATTAAATATAGATTAATTATAAAATCAATTACATAGATAGAGGCTAATTTGCGAGACGAATTTTTTAAGCCTAATTAATTTGCTCTTTAAGCATGTTTCTTCTTTTATTTGTAGCACCATCGTTGTCAAATTATGGACTAATTAGACTTAAAAGATTAAATCTCGCAATTTCCAATCGTAAGTTATGTAATTAGTTTTTTAATTATCTACATTTAATACTTCTACGCGTGATAAGTATATTCAATGTTCATGAGTATTGTGAACACTTTCTAAAAACTTTTCAGCGAACTAAACTGGGCCCAAACACCCCTTACTTTCGTTACGTGGAGATGAGATGATTTTCCTGCCATCGTCCGTCTAGCCGGAAAAAAGCAAGCAAAGAGAGTAAAAAACAAAACAAAAAAAAGTAGTACTAGTTGAAACGTAATTACGGGCAGCGATTATCTGCTTCCTACGTACTAGCGAGTACGTACTTGACACCATTCAGAATGTTGAGTTACGGCGTTTTCGACGAGGGCCAACCACCTCATCAGCCTACTTTTTTGTTTATATTTGGAGAAAATTATCCAATTATGGTCCGTTTAGCCTTAAAAAAGATTAGTCTCACGATTTCTCGCCAAACATGTAATTAGTTTTTTTTTTTCTAGTTGAAACGTAATATACGCCGCAAGATTCGATGTGATCTGCTTATACAAATTTTTTTGAGTTTTGGGGACATCTAAACGGGGCCTCAATTGATGCAAGGAAAAGCATGGCAGTACTGGCACACCGATCATGACAGCGACCATTCCATTCCTTGCTTCTTCGTCAACTGCTATCCATCCACTCGTTTCTTCACAAACCACATGCCTTGGCAACGAGGCTGAACAGTGATATTATCATCAATGCGCAGCGAACCTATACCTAATTAACCTAGTGACTGACGCGTGTGTCTACTACTCGTCAGCAAACGAAGCATTCTATTTTTGTCTGACGAAACTGCATCGATCATTAGTTCTGATGGCTCTAGATGATTTTGAGCACTTGTGCAGAAAAGAGGCTAATTAAATTAAATAGTTTGGCGATGCTCGTTTCTAGTTTTCTGATGATGGGCTGCAGCACCAAGCTGATACTCTACGGTCTCACGACCCAGCCCAATAAGCTAACTTTAGGCCCGGACAACAACATCCAGGTCACGCACTGAAGACTCCCGAGTTGCTGATGATGATGTGCAGTAAACTGAATGCTGGAGCAGGAGCAGCAGCAGCAGCAGCAAGTGGTGTACAGTATGCAGTGAGATCCGCGCAGGCGCATTGATGAGTCGCAGGCCGGGTCAGGTGAGGCAGGCCGCTACGGGCTCTCTGGGCTCTGGGCTCTGCTCCCTGGCTGCGTTCCTGGTGCGCAAACTAAGCCGAAATGGAATGGAATCCA